TTGCCTTCACTAAAAAATTACAGTCACTCCACCAATACAGGTCCTTAACATAGCTATTCATTTTGACTTTATATTGTAATTTAGTTTTACAGTGTTCACTCACATACCTTCCTTCTCCCTATACCCATTCCCTTTTGTTTTACAGATTCTCTTTTATTTTGATATATTTTTTACTGTCATTTTCACCATTGAAATTGCCCTGAAGGTAAAGTCCCATTTCCTCTTCCATTAGCTTCTCACATGTAAGCCCACTAATTTTCTGCTGCTCTCTGTTGCTAACCCACACACCTGTTTGTGTTTTGGCCATGCTCTGTGATCACTAACCCAACTGTGCTTATTTTTCAGATCCTAGGCAATGCAGATTATGTCTTCACTAGTATCTTTACATTAGAAATTATTCTTAAGGTAACCAATATGAGCCTTATGTGCTCCCTCTTGCTTTCTGCTTTGTAATTTTGTACTGCTTTAAATCCCAAGTGCTTTCTCTGTTAATAGGTGTCCTTTGTAGCTCACTTGTGATTGTGCATGCTTTAGAAACTAATCTATTGTAAATACTACAATCTCATTTGTTAGTCCTCTTGTTAGTCCTTGGTATATAGCAACCAAATTGTCCAGTAAACTCAGGGAAGACTAAATGTCCTGGAACACTACATTTGTTCATTTCAGGAAGCAATACTCTTTGTGATAAGCTCTCCTAATATCCTTATATTGCTCTAAATCTAAAACAAAACAAAATAAAAAAAACATATTATAACTTGTCATTATGAACTCAGGCAACCTGAGGTCTGACATGAGTCAGACTATTTAGAGTACAATCTCTATTTTATATATCTTGTAGTGCTAAATTGGCTTTAGGGAGCGGAATTTCCACCTAATAGACCAGGAAATCCGAGCAATTTGCTAATGTGAGTAAATACAATTGAAGCCAAGAATCCTTCAATATATGTGTAAAAAATGGAATCGTATTAAATGTGGCCTACTATGTTAAATTACAGTTGCCGAAATAGCCAATGCAGCACCCAACTATTGAAATAAGAGCAAACTTTAGCCACCCTGAAACTGCAAAAAAATGAAAAGACGGGTGAAATTATTAAAGCCCTATCAGACCATAGTAACTAGTTGATAAATTATGTTACCTTGGTAGATTTTAGGTTGTTTATAATGTTAAAGTGACCAACTTTTTTACAATGAAAAGGAGGACACAAATAAATTGAAGAAAAAAATATCGTAAAAGCTGGCTCGGCCCATGGAAGGTCAACCGCCTGCCGCACCCCCACCCCGCCAGCACCGCTGCCCCACTGTGTAGAGTGGGCCCCGCGGCTCCCAAAGCACCAGCTGTGCCGGCTCTGGCCCTGGGGGGCAGCCCGCCCTCAACACACCCCGCCTGCAGCCGCCCCGCCAGCACCACCACCCACCCTGCGCAGCCCCGTGTAGAGAGAGCCCCGCGGCTCCCACAGCACGGGGGGCAGCCAGCCACTGCCGCCCCTCACACCCCCGCCCACAGCACCCCCGCCGCCCCTGCCTCTTGCGCTCGCAGCCATTATTGCCCTAGCAGAGCCGAAGATCAAGAGAAACTTACCGCTCCAGTCTCCTCCAGGTATCTTCGGAACTAACTAGGAGATGGTGTAGGTGGGTAGCAGGGAGGGGTGCTAAGTCCCTGCCAATTTGCCTTCGCTGCAGACAACTTGCATGTGCAAAGTTTGCCGGCTGGGTGTTTTGGCGCGCTCAGCAGCAATTCCTATTGGCTTTCAAAAGCCAATAGGGGGAGTAGCACAGCTCATGCAAAAGTTGAAAAAAACATCAAAAAAGGTGCCGGAATGCCGTTCTGAGCGTTCTATGAGGGGGAAAAAAGCCCTGCAGATTAGTCTTCAAATATCAAAAAGGAGGACATGTAGGAGGACACTTTTCGAGGGAGGACAGAACTTAAAAAAGGAGGACTGTCCTCCCTAAAGGAGGACGGTTGGTCACCTTAATAATGTTGGAGACTAAGTAGAAGAAAGTCTAGAAAGGAAACCCCTGATTGAATTTCTTCTAGCATACTAAAACCAAAATTACAGCATCACCTTTTAACCTTTTGGTGTTGTTGATTCCAATCTGGATGAGAAATTTATAACCCAGCATGACATCTAAGTCCAGAAAACTGAGTTAAGTAAGTAAGCTATGGCTAGATAAACTGAGACAGATATCCTGTCAACACAGCCACTGAAGATTTCAGTATTGTTCTTCCATAATATTAACAGCATCAGAGTTTAAAAGATCGTATTTTCTTCATCTTGTAACTTTGCTCTCATATACCGAAGATACTCTGGTTTCTCTTCAGATCATATAAATCTTTCGCCTTTTATCGGACAGCACAGATAACTAGAGTAAGTGGTGTAGTTCAGAATTCCACATAGTATATCCACTAAGGGCAGTTCCCCTTTAGCTTTCACAGAATTACAATGTGCCCCAAATGCTACAAAACACTCCAATGTCACCTTGTTCCCTGTTTATTTCTGTCAATAATCTTCTCTTAGTTTAGAAAAAACTAGTCCTAACCAGGGACATTAAACCCAAAAGACAGAAGAAAAAGGATGCTCTTGCTATCGCTCCATGGGTAAGACAACCTCATCTTAGTCCAAGCTTGTAGCATCTGTTGGTATTCCACAGTAGTTCCAACTGTGAAGATCTGTGTGATTCTATCTATGTGATTTCTCAAGAGAAATGTACATACCTTGCTCAATAGTAGTAACTGTGAGAGGGACCTCAGAGTCCTAGTGGACAATCACTTAAATATGAGCCAGCAGTGTGCTGCAGCTGCCAAGAGGGCCAACACAGTGCTAGGCTGCATTAACAGAGGGATAGAATCAAGATCACGTGAAGTATTAATACCACTTTACAATGCCTTGGTAAGGCCACACTTGGAATACTGCATCCAGTTTTGGTCACCGCGATGTAAAAAAGATGTTGAGACTCTAGAAAGAGTACAGAGAAGAGCAACAAANATGATTAGGGGACTGGAGGCTAAAGCATATAAGGAACGGCTGCTGGAATTAGGTATGTCTAGTTTAATGAAGAGAAGGATGAGGGGGGACATGATAGCAGTGTTCCAATACCTCAGGGGCTGCCACAAAGAAGAGGGAGTCAAGCTATTCTCCAAAGCACCTGAAGGCAGGACAAGAAGCAACGGATGGAAACTAATCAAGGAGAGAAGCAACCTAGAACTAAGGAGAAACTTCCTGACAGTTAGAACAATTAACCAGTGGAACAACCTGCCTCCAGAAGCGGTGAATGCTCCAACACTGGAATTTTTTAAGAAGAGACTGGACAGCCATTTGTCTGAAATGGTATAGGGTTTCCTGCCTGAGCAGGGGGTTGGACTAGATGACCTCCAAGGTCCCTTCCAACTTTATTATTATTATTATTATTATTATTATTATTATTATTATTATTATTATTATTACTTCTACTACTACTACTACTACTACTACTACTACTACTACTACATGAAAGTGCATTGAAACGTTCACAGGAAGAATAGGAACAGAATAGAATAGAATAAAAATAACCTCCCTGTCATTTTACAATTCTTATGGTTAGTCTTTGGCTGTCATTATGTTTAGAATACAGATAGTCCTAGACTTACAACAGTTCATTCAGTAACCACTCAAAATTATAAGAACATTGAAAAGTGACTTACGACCGTTTTTCACAGTTATGACTGCTGCAGCATTGCCATGGTCAGATGTTTGGCAATTGACTCATTTATGACGGTTGCAGTATCCTAGGGGCATGTGATCACCTTTTGTGACCTTCTGACAAGCAAAGTCAATGGGGAAGCCAACTTTGCTTAACAATTGTGCTACTAACTTAACAAGTGCAGTGATTCATTTAACGACTGGCAAGAAAGATTGAAAAATGGGGCAAAACTCACTTAACAACTTAACAACAACAAATTTTTTGGGCTCAGTTGTGGTCATAAGTTGAGATCTACCTGTATCCATTGTTAGTCTTAATATTGGAGCACTCAAGAATGCCTTTCAATATTACTTGGCAAAATGTTAACCTTTCCACCAGCCTATATAAAATTTATAACTATGTCCAAATAACTTTCCCCTACACTTAAGAGACAGTCTAGATTAAGGTCAGAATTATAATTTCCTATGTTTGCTTTAAACAAAAAAAGCTTAAATTTAAAACAAGCTTTTCTTCACACCAAAAAAGAAAAAAAAGAGTTTGGCCAGGAAAAAAAAAATCACCAACATTATCACCTTCCTGGGCCATCTAAGAAAACTCTCATTTTAAAAATAAATGATTTGAGTGGAAAAATCTAGGCTTTCTTTTAGTTAAATACGAGAAAATAAATGGCCTGACTACACAATATCCTATCTGAAAAAAGCTAATCTGATTAATCATGAAATGTTCAATCAGAGCTGGTATAATTTATGTTTGATGCTTTTTAAAAATGTCCTATAAACAGAGAAAATCTTTGCAAAATAGATCTCTTTCCATCTCTCTCTTCCCGTCTGAAACGAAAGTTTGCTTCAGATTTCTCGGGTAAAGGATTGGACACAACCTGAAGCCATTAATACCTTTTAATATGTGCAATGCTAATTGAGAATGCATCCAGGGTCTCTTGGAGCTTTGCCTTGTTTACTTTATAGAATGATCTGTACACACAACACTAACGCTTAGTATGTTTTGTTTGATTTTGATTTGATTTTGACTCGGGGGAATCCGAAAATATGTAGGAACCAAGCTATTGTCTGAGTTTGGGGCCTTTGTTTCTGCCATCTTGTTAAAAAGTAATCTTAGGAAAAATATGATTAAGTAAGTCTTTAGATAATTACTTCTGGGCTTATTATATCACTTGATTCAATTCAGTAAATAATTAGGCACTATATCTAGAGAGCAAATCCCCATGATCTCTAAACATATATTTCTACATAGCATAAAATATGATAGTTTTAGTTTTTCTACTAATTTATGCCTAGCATTTAATACTCTTTTGGCATCCTGTTCTCGTCCATCACACATGCATGCTCATGTCAAAACTTATTGTACAAAAATATACAGTGCCTTTCAAACCTTCCATTCCCCAGTTGTGATTGACTTATTTATCTTTCAGTGATATGGAGAATATTAAATGTTAGTTTCTACCACTCAGATTTATGTGGATTTTTTTTTTATCCAGTGGTGCCGTTGCTCTGATTCAAAAGCTGTAGCCTTAATGTTTTACTGTGTCACAAATAACTTTATAAAATGCAAGATGAGCTGTTTGGAGGTCACACAACCTAAAGTTGCCACGGTTGAGAAACTCTGCTTTAAAACAGAAGTCCTGGCAGACACTTTGGCCAATTGTTGCAGCAAATGCCTTTCCTTCCACAATTAATTATATTATTTTCTATTGATTTCAACTTAAAGAGCACTGCTTTTACATTCTTTCTGAATTCTTTCCAATAGAAGATACTGTTTCCTAATGCTGTTTGATTTGGATGATATATAATGTCCCATTCTCTTTAGCATATAAAGACTAACAGAAAATTATAAGGTTTTTATGCAATGTATTCTGGGTTGGCTGCAAGAATTTTAAATGCAACTATGATTGTTTGTTCCTCATATTCCAATCAGTATTTTAAATTTAATAAATAAATAAGTATACTTATTGTAAGACATTTTCAGGTCTGAAACTTTTTACGGAGTCATGCTAAAATTCCATGTGCAGATAATGCTTTCCTTGAAGTAGCTAGTTTTATCAGCCAAAAGAAACTTAATCAGAATGGCCACAGCTAATCATTTTTTAAACATTTCAAAATCAAATCACAGGATTAACATTTGATTGTCCTGGTCTGTTAACTAAATGCAAAACAAAGAGACAAAACAGTCAAGTAAGTTATTATTGTGGCACAGGAAAAATATGAAACAGAGAAAGATATTAGCCCAACATGATGTGTGCACTTAAGATCAAAGGTACTAAAAATAATAAAATGCCTGGGAAAAGGAATATTTTAGCCCAATGTTCAAAAAAGCAGCAACATACAGTACGTGCCAAGTGTGTGTCTCTGGGGAATACATTTCACAAAGCCCCAAAGCCACTAACAGCCTCAGTTCACAAAAACTGTTGAAGTGTCCTTGAAAGTTCATATGGAGAAGGCATTCCTTGAGATTCTAAGCCATTAAAAACAGTCCTAAGATTTTGAATTACAGAAAGTTTTTCTTTTCTTGGAAGAGAGTGTTGCTGGTAAAAATAATTCATACAGAAACTGCTATGGTCTAGTTAATGTTACATTCAGATTTTACAAGTGATTGCAAATATTGATTTAGACATATGTACATTATCACTGATAATAAAAATCACACTTGGGGTTCTTCTTGCGCAGACACCTAGATCCTTCATTTTGTAGAACCAATATAACAGCAAACTAAACTGCATTGATAAAAACCACGCCTGCTAGTAAGAAAGCAGCAGAGGTATAATCCTCAATTCAGTCTGAGAGATTAAGCAGGATGATGGCCCTTCTAAAAATTTAAATCTGGATCTGGTAGCACTGCTTCCTATTGAGATCATTAGACTAATTTTCATTAAAGGAGATTTATGGGAAAAAAGTTTTCATTTAAATAATATTCATATGGGACAGTACATTTTACAAAATTCTAGAATGAATGTCACATTGAAAGCTAACAAAAAGAAAAGTGTATTCCAAAGGCAATAGTAAGCTGCAAACAGCCATTCCTTAGTTGGACCAGATGCTACTAGCAAGTTTTTCTAGCATATCCTTCTCTGAAAAACACGTTTACTCCTCTTTGCCTTCTTCATGTGAAGCTTTGTGCTAAAATGTATAGAGATTTTCTCCTCTACCCTCCTTTTTTGCTTCCTCTGAAAATCTTTCGCATTTTCTAACAGTAAAATCTTGATTGCCTATAGATGACTGCTTATGGGGCTTTCCTTCACAAAGGCTCCTTCTGCAGGAACTACTTCAACATCCTGGACCTGCTAGTGGTTAGCGTTTCTCTCATCTCCTTCGGGATCCAGTGAGTAAGCTATCATATCTTTCCAACTATCATATGATATATGGATAGTAAGGAAGAGAGATGGATCAGCAGAAGGCAGGCACAATTGTGGCACAAGCTAAATGAAGGTTCTTCCTGCAAATTGTATCTATTGTTTTTTTGTCTTCTTCTTCTTTGTGTGTGTGTGTGTGTGCATTTCTGTGTGTGTAAGATTATACTTTGCTCATGTTGAACTACCTTCAACTAGGAACTGTTTGTTTAGTCCAGGGGTAGGCAACCTTGGCTCTTTTATGACTCGTGGACTTCAACTCCCAGAATTGAAGTCCACGAAGTCCATTCCTGCTGGCTCAGGAATTCTGGGAGTTGAAGTCCACGAGTCATAAAAGAGCCAAGGTTGCCTACCCCTGGTTTAGTCAGTTTGCCTCCTTCCTGCATGGTCCTTTCTCTTTGTTCAAACTTTTGTAAAGAGTTAAAAGTAAGAAGGTAGGTTTCTAAAGCCTGGTTTTTAATTTCTGAATCTCCCACGTAACTATTTTTACATGTCTGACTTTCATTCTCATTTCAAAATAATTGGGTCTTTGTACATTTGTATGAAGAATAATTAAGAAGCCACAAGATGCTGTTTTTAGTTCAGACCGATACTGGATTTTAAATTGGTTTGTAAGCTATCATAAGAAAAAATTATATTCTGGAGATATGCAAAGAGTCAAGTGGTTATGGCACCGGACATAATCCAAGGAGCCAAGGTGTACTAAGTTATATATATTATAACATTGTAGAAGAAACAAAAGAGGAGATAATGGCAGCAGAAGCAAAAGGAACAAAGAACTTTGTTTCATTATCATGCATTTGACTTAGATTGAAGTCTTGGTCACAATAAGAATTAGGAGGAGGGACCTAAGCATCATAGGTTTTGAGAATAGATTTGAAGAAAACCAAAGCAGTGTTGTACAGGTGTTCTATAGAACAAATCCACACCAAGCACACACAGCGGCGGTGCAAAAGCACTGAGTAGTTTGAAACAGGAGAATTTTGCATGGCTGAGATTGATATAAAGCTGACAATTGTTTATGAGCAGGACAATATCAGGAGGTTGGTGTGGTAGGATAAGAAATGCAAGACTAGGTTATGGAAAACTTTGAAAGCTAGAATAAGTCAACGTGGGGATTTAAAGAGGATATTACTTGATCATAATGTTGAGAGAAGCGAATTATTTAGTCAGCAGTGTGCCAGGCAAACATTAGGGAGCTAAAAAAGGAAAAAGGGGATGTCACATGTTTTGCCACGGAGGCAGAAAGGGAATGAAAGTCTGGACAGTGAAGATAAAAAGAATATAAGCAAATTGTGAAACATGGATTCCTAATTAAGAGCAGAATATATGGTTTATAGTGAAATCAAAAACTTCAGTAATGACTCATAACTAATCTTATTGAATGAAGCTAGTACAACTTTTTTTTTCAAGTTCTCACAGTCTGAAAACGTGTCAGGCTGCTGTAGTAAATACACAGCTCTCAAAGCAAGATTCGTCAGCCCATTAGTCTACCTCATCCAGTTGTTTGGACCTCATCCAGTTGTTTGGAGTTTCTTTGCCCCTGGCCAGGAAGGATGGGTTCCATCTGTGTGGGGTTTGTGTTTAACAGAGCCAAGTTGTAGGTTGAAAAAGTCTTTCAGAGACTAAATTACTGGAGAACTGACCTCTTCTGAATTAGCAATTTGGTGAAATGCTTCTGAGAGTCCTTATCTTAAAGTGCCTTGTGATGATTACTGCATGGCACCCTGTTTGCACTATGTCTGCTGTTCATTTGGCAGATTGACTTGTCATTCTTCCCTCTTGGTCAATGTGATATTTTTATACAGCTTAATACACCTGTCACTAACAGCTCCCTCCCTTTTAGCATCTTAGTATGCAGCATCTCAGCTATAATAGAATGTGGTAAAAAGACTCTATGAACAGAATTCATGTATATATTTAGAATAATATACATACTTTTAAAACAAAACCTCAAAACCTAACGGGCATGCAGTGGTAAAAAGAATAAAATCTCTGCTGCCAGACCAATAAACCTTTTATTAATAAGGTATTACAATAAAATTATATATAAATGATTAAGTTGAAGACATTCTAAATAAGTGCAACATTTTCCTATGAAAAAATTAAATATACTTTTAACTAATTTAAAGATGCCAATACATATTGCCAGCTTTATATTACAGTTTTAAGCAATTCAGTAGAAACGTTCCAGGCAAAGATAATATGAATCTTTTACCAATCTTCTTTCATATACCTTAAACATTTTATTTGAAAGCATATGAACTGGTAAACATAGTATAAAATTCGCTTTCTGTGCTCAATCATATCTATTTCACTACATAATTTTCAGCTGATAGATAACTCCTAGAATGATAGTAAATCCTGATCTTCAATGTTCTTCTCTAGGTCCAGCGCAATCAATGTAGTAAAGATATTACGTGTTTTGAGAGTCCTCAGACCGTTGCGGGCAATCAACAGAGCAAAGGGTTTAAAGGTAGAAAACTCTTACCAGTCCATGAACAATCAAATGTTCTCTCGCTTTATGTTACTTCTCTGAATGAATCAACTTGGGGTCTTTTCCAGTGCTAAGCAAGGAGTATAAAAGCAGTGATTCAATCTATCTGCTTTGTTCGGATAGGCAGGATTCCTTGTTAACAGTGAGTGATTTTTTTTTCTGTCTTCAAGGTAATAGTGCCCACAAGTGTACAATTCTATTTATCTTGCTATATATAAATGATTGTCATTCATTTTTATGGCAAAAGATCCTGTCTTTTTTTTTTCTGTGATAATATTGGACTGGGCAGAGCCTTGGGAACTGGTATTAAATTATTTGACTTGGGCAGGAAATTTATTTGTGTTACAATGATCTATATTTGTATTTATTTATCAAATTTCTACACCACCCATCTCACTTAAGTGACTCTGGATGGTTTACAAACAATGTGAAAGGCAATTCTGAGCAAAGTATAGCATATGCCTGGGTATGCTACATGATGCTACAGATTTTCTCTAATACTGCCCCATTCAAAAATGTGCAGTGCAGCTTAAGGGTGGCCATTTGTTATCTAAACAAAGGTAACATACCCATTTAAGTTATAGATTCTCTTCCCCCAAAAATCACTGCTTTAGGAGATTCTGTTGTTTAGCCTTTTCACTGTGGATACAAATGATAAAAAGCTGATAAAGCTTTTAGAAAGTGAACAGTCTATTATGAAACATTTATGACTTAATGATGCTCTTGCTCCTTTCTGATTACAAAATCACAGTCTAAATAGCCTGTGGATTTTTGCCTGCTAAGTGGTACTGCACAGAGGTATAAGATGCCTAAGTGACAAGAATATTAGTACTTAAAACAACTCAAAAGTGGAAAAATACAACTTGTTTTTATTTCTGATTTTTATTTGCAGCATGTGGTTCAATGCGTATTTGTAGCTATACGAACCATAGGGAATATTGTGATCGTGACCACTTTGTTGCAGTTCATGTTTGCCTGCATTGGAGTTCAGTTGTTCAAGGTAAGTGTTACGGGACTTGTTCCTCGCTTTTTCATTGAAAGTTGAAAAAACGACAATCCAATAGAAATGTTTGGAAGAGTTTGGGAGAAAAAGAAAAGAAAAACTGCCTGGCGCTCTACATTTTCTAGAACGATCATCACAAAACATTAAAGTAACTGACTTGCTTAATTTGAGAGAGCTACTGGGCACTTTAGTTCATAATATACATTAAGACAGGGGTAGTCAACCTTGGCTCTTTTATGATTTGTGGACTTCAACTCCCAGAATTCCTGAGCCAGCTAAGCTGGCTCAGGAATTCTGGGAATTGAAGCCCACGAGTCATAAAAGAGCCAAGGTTGACTACCCCTGCATTAAGGGAGTAACTAATGGTGTTTAACCTTTGAACTAGTATGTTCAATGTCAATGTAGTTCTCTGCAAAAGTAGTCCCAAATACTACTTGTATGTGATTTGGGGCTTTGTGTCACATTTGATGATAATTTAAGGGAAGATTTTATGTTTGCAGCTGGATGGATGTGGGGAACCTTCTCTGAATTTTGTTGAATAGTGAAGATGAGCAGAATCAGCCCAGCTGTTCTCTCAATGCATTCAGTGCACAGATGAATGAACATTTCCTGAAGCTAGGGATAATTCCAGAAGCTGGAAAGTCCACCATATGGATCTCATCAACCTACATAGTTAATCAGGTGTACACACAGGGCAGATATTAATATTGTGGCTGTTATTGAAAGTAATTGGAATATGGGTTTGCAAAAAGTGGAAGCTTTTACTAGCAGTGAGCTGCCTTCAGTGTATTTTCTATCTGAAAACTACTTTTGCAGCATCAGCAATAATGATACACGTGAAGTATGAAAACCTAGAACGTTTCAATTTGCTTCGTAAGATCTTAGATTAAGAATTCTTCGTTTCATTATATGAATAATAATTCATGTAATACTGTATAGTGTTACAGTGTACTCCAGTTTCCCTAACATAGAGAATTTCTATGACTTATCTGTTTCTTCCAAAGTCTCCTTTGTTTAATGTTCTAATACAAATATACCATTTTATACTAAGTCAATGATATTGTTCCTTAGGGTGCAATATATGATTTTTATCCTTACTATAATCATAATTACAGGTAGTCCTTGACTTGCAATGATTCATTTAGTGATCAGTCGAAGTTACAGTGGCACTGTAAAAAGTTTTCACACTTAACGACCGTTGCAGCATCCCCATGTCATGTGATCAAAATTCAGGCACTTGACAACTGGCATGTATTTAAGATAGCTGCACTGTCTGGGGTCATGTGATCACCATTTCTCACCTTCCCAGCCAGAGTTGGGATTTATAAGCCAAAGAAATTAAGCATATAAAATATGAAAAAGCAAAGAAAATTTAGCTAAATTTAATTTACATAAAAACCATTAAAGTATCTGCATCTTTTCACACCCTTTTATCATTGCAAACACTGTCTTTTGCTATTTAAGCTTTTAATCTTGTTCTTTTTGAGGATCACATCAGCTCCTTCAAATCACAACTTTCTTAGACTTCATACCCATTCGGATAAAGGGGAAATCCTCGGTATATTTATATAACGCACATGTCAAATCAAGTTGACATTTTGGTGGATTTGCATATCTGAAATAATTTGTAAAATGGCTGGAAACCTATTTTGTTGATGACTAATCTTACTTCGATTCAGACTTCTGTTAAAATCATATGCTTAATCATTAAAAATAACTTTTTAATAGAAGTAACTGTATGATAAAATACGTATTCCTTTTTTTTAAGTTTTATTAATTTTTAAGAATTACAATTTTAGAGCTTAGTAAACAACATGTTGTCCGGGTTCACATATTTAACATTGACTTCTTCAATATAAATCCATTCAGTACTGCACAATCCAATATTTTTTCCCTGATCCTCCTTTCTTCCCCATATTTTTTCATTTTCCCCTCATTAAACAATTCTTGGTACTATTGATGTATACAAAGTTAGATATAAACATCTTCATCATATTTTACTAATCTTATACAAATAACAATAATATCAATTCATAAATCAATATCCTGTTTTTCGTGCTCTTGTTAAAGTTTGATTTCCCATCAATATTAAAAGTATCTTTGTCAGTTATGATTTTCTCAATATTAATTACATTTATATAGCTAAACATTTTATTCATACCAATCCTCCTTTTATTTTCATATTTCCCATATCCAAAGAAGAAAAATAAAAATGCTATTTTAATTCTAAATCATATTTTTCATTATAAAGGACTAATTATATCTAAAGGTCATCTGTTTTTTTAATCATATTCAAACAAATATTGGAACATATGATGCCCCCTCTAATAAGTCAAATCTTCTATTTTTTAAATCTAACTTGCTTGCTCTCTTTGCCAAGTAGCTTTCCAAGCCAAGGCAATTAAATCGCCCAGGAATTCTCTTTTTATTTTTATGAAAATTGCTTGGCATGAGGAACACAATTTAGGTAGGGTATTTTTTGGGGGGAATTCCGCCCATTTATGTTCCTTAAGCAACTCCCACCTTCTCCCTCAATTTCTCCCCTTATCTTTTGTCTCCGAAAATTATATTTCCCCTGACAGCTCTATGTTCCATTCCCCAAAATCATCTTCCTGGTCATCAAGTGCATCTTGCAGATTTAAAGGGTAAAGGGTCTTTTGCATTTTCATTGTTATTTTATTTGTGTATGGTAGTTTATATTTCCCTTCTTTCATCTCTTCCATCTCCTCTAGATCTATTTCCTCTGCTTCATCTTCTGATCTCTGGTTTATTTGTTCATACTTTGTAGTCGTTGTCTGGGAACTTTCTAGTTGTAGATTGAATTTGGAGATTTGCTCATTTATATTATCTAAATTATTTTTAGTCTCATTATGGTTTCTTTTTATGTCTTCTTTGTATGCAACAATTGTTTGGTGAATTAGTTGTAGCATAGACTATATTTCCTTCTGAAAGGTGTTTGTTTTTTCTTGAGGCATCTTTCCTGGAGATACTCTAATATCAACAGTCTCAGTAAAAGTAAAACAAAGTTTCCTCTAGCTTTCTGGTCTTTATATATAGCCTTTATAATCCAGTAGATTCCAAAATACAGGTCCGGTCCCAAAAACAATATTTTATAGTGATCCTTTGTCTCAGGCATCCAAAAAATGTCAATCAGGCAAGGTTGTAATCCACAATGTTCAAAGTGTTTCTCCAGTGATCTAAGTCAACTTTTTTGTGCTTTATTAACTTTACATAATTGTCCTCTTTAATTGATGAACACCGTGCAGAATTAACAATTCCTAGATATTTTAGTTTAATTACCTAATTTTCCCCAAGATTTTCTTTTTGTGTATTAGTCATATTTTTTGCTATGATCTTTTGTTTCTATTTATTTTCAAGCTTGCCGAATCTCCATACTCCTCCAATATTTCAAATAGCTTCTGACTTGATTGCACTCTTAAGACAAAGGATTGATTTCTTTCTCACCTCAATGTTTTGTTTTGTTTTTGTTTTTTCCAAAGAGAAAATCTTAACAATTATCTCAGTTCTCGAATTTATCAAAACTGCAGCTTTATGTTACTTTTACTTCAGTATTGTATATTTCTGTCCCCTTTAAAATTAAAACACCGCTTCCGTTCACATTTGGAGGTCTTTAGCTTCATGGGAGCCTTTCCCAGGAAATTCAGTTGTAAAATAGTAAAGAAAGGATCAATATTCTTACCCAGTTCCAAACATGCTGTTTACGATGTGCTAATTGGTGCTTTTGTTCTTCGGTTGTCAGCAGCTAATGGCTGGCCACAGGAATGTAGCCAGTCTTTCCCCTGCCGGTTTGGAGGGTTTTCTCAGATTGAACGAAAAGACCGCCATCTCTTCGTGATCAGCGAGATACCCCTCCTCTTCATCGCCTCTTTGGGGCAACTTTAGGCCCTTTTTAGGGCAGGGCAAAATTGGGAGCAGAAGGCTAAGCCCTGCCTTCCTGCATCTGTTCCGCCATGACGCAAAACCAGAAGTCCGATAAAATACTTATTCCTATCGCAGTTTGACTCTTAACTGTGTTGTATGTGTGTGGCCTTGAATGAAATCTTATAGGCCAAGATCCATACAAAATGCAGTAAGGCTGGCAATATAATTCAAGCTGATAAAACTTTAAACAACAATAGATGAAGAGAGGACAAAGCACATTTTTTTCTTCGTGAGGCAGTAATGAAAGCATAACTCTGTATTCTGCTCTATAATTAAATTATTCTTCTCTTTCATCCTTCTCCAGGGCAAACTGTACAGCTGCACTGATAGCTCCAAACAAACAGAAGCAGAATGCAAGTGAGTTCATGATCGTCTGACCTCTCTTCCATGTCAACCGCCGTCAGGGAATTTTCTTTTGTGTCTATTTCCCCCAATTCTCCTTACTTTCCTTCTCCTCATAGGGGCAATTTTATCACTTACAAGGATGGAGAGGTGTCTCAACCAATTATTCTGTCCCGAAACTGGGAGAATAGCAAATTTGATTTTGACAATGTCCTCGCCGCTATGATGGCCCTTTTCACTGTTTCAACCTTTGAAGGCTGGCCAGAGTGAGTATATAAGGCAATATTTCTTCATATTTTATGGATCCAAAATAAGTTGCCTTTTTCAGTGTTTAAATGGACATATTAAACCTGACTCGTCAGTCAGTACTTCAGTGTGTTATCACTCTGTGTGTTTCAATAGTTCTTTAGAAAATACTGTTTTATTTCATTTTACTGTCTCATTTCTGACATAGTCACAAGACTGAATATCTGGAAATCTGGAAACTTTCAAATGGCACATTCAGAAGGCTGTTTTCTTGTGCTTTCAGCTGAGCTCCACAGTATGCTCAGAAAGGATCTCTAAAGAAGCCTGCCAATTAGGTTATCTGAAAGTATTTACTTTCTATTTCCTTCCCCCCCCCCCTTTGTTTCCAGACTGCTGTATCGATCTATTGATTCCCATATGGAAGATGTGGGGCCCATCTATAACCACAGGGTGGAGATCTCAATTTTCTTCATTATTTATATCATCATCATTGCTTTCTTCATGATGAACATCTTTGTTGGTTTCGTCATTGTCACGTTTCAAGAGCAAGGAGAACAGGAATATAAGAACTGTGAGCTTGACAAGAACCAGGTAATTCCATGATGTGGCTCTTAAAATCCTGCAAGATACAATTCAAATATCCAACTAAATATTTGTTATTACAACGTAAGGTGAGGGTGGTAGGCCTGCTGAAAAACATTTACCCACCCATGCACTATTAGAATATTTCATTATCTTCATCGAAAAATAAAAGAAAGATACAGGGCTAGTCATGATAAAACAAGCATCACAATGGAAGCTCCTCTCCTGTTATATGTGCATTATGACATTGCTTGTATAATAATGTAAATTACATCATGAAATAAAACCATTGGATTCTGCAGAGACCTCTTGGAAGATAGCAAGTCTGTGTTCCTGTTGCAATGATATATTTTGGAGCCTTCATGTCGTATTTTGATAAACATTAACAGACCAGTACTACTGAGATCAGTGGTTTATTCCAAAGTAAATAATTACAATATTGCAATATACAAGGTTATTAGGTTTAATAAGTTTTTAAGACTGCAACGTGTAGAATTTCCAGTCATCAAAGATCATATTGGATGGAATTCTCAAAATTACATGAACTTTCATGAGGTACAATTGCTCTACCAGCTGTTTCTCACAAAATGGTCTATACTAGACAAAATTTTGGGCCCAAAACAATGGGTCGGTCATTAAGACTTACAAGACTTACCATTAGAAAATGATTTTTCCTAAAGCAAGAATTTTTATAATAAATATTTCTGACCAAGCTAAACAATCATATACTTGTAGAATTTATTTTTCTTGTTACAGATGGATCATCTAACCTACTGCTTTCTCTTAATAGCGTCAATGTGTAGAATATGCTCTGAAGGCCCGGCCCCTGCGAAGATATATCCCCAAAAACCAGTACCAATATAAAGTGTGGTATGTGGTGAACTCCACCTATTTTGAATACCTGATGTTCGTCCTCATCTTGCTGAACACCATCTGCCTGGCCATGCAAGTAAGTGGGAAGTTAGAAAATACCAGGACTGTGCAGAGCTTCAGAAATAATTTAAATAATTTAAAACAAATGTATCTTCACCTGGCTAACTACTGCGGCTGCCATGTCATTTCAGGAAATGCATTGTTTGCTTTAAACAGCTGAAGTCAAATGCAATGTCTTTATCCCATGTATTCTGAAACACTTTTTGGGAATAGAATTCAGTGCAGTATACAGCCCAAGAAAGTCTTACAATATCATAGATAATATTGAATTCATAGCAATATTCATGATCTAGAAATTGCACAGTTCCTGTAGTTTCTTTAATTACCAAGGGAAAAGAAGTACATTATTAAAACCAAGAATTTTCTACTGTGAGAGAACTAAAATTATCTGAAAGTATGAATTTGTCCCATTCTACAAAAGCAGATTAAATTGTATCAACTGCATACCTTTTTTTAAAGCAAGTGTATTTCCTAAGTACAACATACGGAAACTATAAAAATGTTAATTTTTTTATTTAAATTGTGTATATATACATACACATACACACATATACTCACATTTTTTTACAATAATTGTAAAGTGAGTCACTATGTTGTAAGCAAATCATGGGGTCATTAATAGAATCACATGGTTGTTAAATGAATCCAGTATATCCAGGGGCCATTTTTTGCCATTTTTCAGTCAGAAAACAACAGCAAAAAAAGTTACAAATCACAGTAACATGACCACAGAATGTGACAACCAATGGTAAATGCGAGCTGGTTGCCAAATGCCTGAAAAGCAATCATGTGATGGGGGAAGCAGCAGTCATAACTTTGAGGACAGCTCACAAGTATAACACAGCCTGTCCATTACAGTCATATGTTGTGATAGTCATAAAACGGGTTGGTCATATAACCAACCTCTTTTTGTTTTTTGTGGCAGTCATTAAGCAAACCCAACGGTCATAAAGTGAATGCTATAGCTATTAAGCGAACTAATAGTTAGCTATGCATGTGTTTTGCTAAAAACCAGAAGTAAAACCATCATGAAATGTAGTCATGTGACCACAACACACTGCAAATGGCCATAAATGTTGCCGAGTGCCCAAAGTTTGGGCACATGGCTGTGAATGAAGCCTAACTGTTGCAACTACAGACCCATTTTTTAGGTCCGCCATAACTTTGAATGGTCACTAAGCAGCCAATTGTAAGTCAAACACTGCCCACTCTGAGGATATGGCCTTTTTTAAAAATTAGATATAGATTAAAGTCACATTATCATATTTCAACTGGATAACCCATAATATTGTGTTAGAAAACTATGTTCTCCATATCACAGCTGGTTTTGAAATGAAATACATTTTTAATGGTTAATTCATTAAATTATAAAGAAATCGGTAGGAAAAAAGTGGAGTAGAAGAGGGAAGAGAGAACTGGTAAAAGGAGAAAACAATCCACTTTTCACAATGCAAATTGAAATAATTAATTGGTGGGGATTTAATTTCAGCACTATGGTCAAAGTATCCTCTTCAAACAAGCAATGAACATCCTCAACATGCTGTTCACTGGCCTTTTCACCGTTGAGATGGTTCTGAAGTTAATTGCCTTCAAACCCAAGGTATGTTGTCGATCAAAGTTTCACTCTGTGCATCTATGGGTCAAAAAGCAGACTGGAGGAGATAAAAAGGTAATAAAGTCAGTTTTATCTCCCATACTCCTCCACAATCTAAAGGAAATGGTCTTGAGCAGTTGTTGCCTAGTCTGGAATCTCAATCTGTGCTTGGAATAGCCTTCCAAATTAACTACTAATTTGAGGGCATAACTAGGATATTTGCTCCTGGGGCTGAAAAATGATCTCTGAACGCAGCCTTTTCATCTCCTTTTGAAAAGCAAAGTTAAAGAAGACTGCTGTGATGTAAGCAGAGCACTTGACCAAAGAGACAAGAGTCAGGAAGTTGCAACAGGAAGGATATATGTTTCAAAAAAGAGGGTTGGAATAAAAAGATAAAAGAGTAACAGCTGTGATAGGATGGTGGAGAAGGAAAAAGTGGCAACTTCTCCCATAAAGAGGAGGCAGGAAGAAAAGAGGACGTTTTCATTAAGTACGATGTTAGGTTTATTGATGAAGTTGGGAAAGGAAAGCGAGGGAAAGTTTTCTATTTATTCAGCAATGCTGGGAGTCCAGGCCGCACCAGAGAAGGCTGGTGGCTGAAGGGATGAAACCTAACCTGCTTGGCCAAAAATAGGGCCCAGTGGAGATGGGACGCCTGAGGAAAAAGCAAGAATATTCTTCGCTTAGCCATTAGCAATAAGACATTGAGAAGGTTGCCTGGAAAAACTGCTCAGTGGGTACAGCATCTAACCTCCAGCCCCGCCCCCCTATATTTCTAAACTTGCCCCCAAAATGCCTGACTTGGAGGCCGCAACTGAGTCAGTAAGGAAAATGGTCTTGCTTTGTCTACTCCCTGTATCCTCCTTATCCTCCAGAACACAGAGGAAACAAAGCAGTATACAATAGCTGAGTAGGAGAGAAACGTTCCCTCCAACAATCTCATCACAAACTCCTAGAAGTACATATTCAACTGGAACCAGTACCTAGCCTTAAAAAAAAGCTGCATTGCTAAAATAAATAAAACATTGTGGTAATTATTTTGTGAATTGTAGCCACAATAATTCCCCATGGTCCACATGTATCCATGAGCCCAAAAGATTGAAAAGCAGCCCCTAATATACAGGATGTACTAAAAAAAAAAACCCAGGCAATTTATTATATACATTACATTAAATGTTTGAATTGGTTGCCATTTTCTTGTAAATACTTCCTTAGTCATCTGACACATGACCTTTGAACACTTCTAAATACTATAACATTTCTCTGGGGAAAAAAGTAATATTCTGATTGGCTTGGGAGCCTGACTATTGATACACCCTGTATGTCTTTCATTGCTTTTAATTCATAATGAGACAGACTTTGAAGCAGAAGGCTAGTATAAAATAAGTATAAACTCACACAGTTTAAATGGTCTTCTAACAATGGTCGCACAAACAGTCCTTGTTTAGTGACCACAACTGGAACCAGCAACTGGGTCATTAAATAAAGTGATTGCTAAGTGAAATTATGACTGTACTTATTATCTTCCTTCAGCTTTCCTTTGCTTCATAGACGTCCGATGGTTCTAAATGTGGGGACTGGTCACAAAGTTCCTTTTTCATCACTGCCATAACTGTAAACAGTCGCTAAATGAGGCAGTTGCTAAACAAGGACTACATGTAACATGAAATGTTGCAAAATATAAAAAGTGAATTTTCTATAGGTTATTTGTATAATGCTTTTTAACACATAAGTGTTTAAAAGTGCTATGCAGTGGTAATTAGTCCACTTCCCAAACACTTTTGTGACTCATTTTCTAGTCTATTTTACATCTGCAGCATAAGATAAAAATATCCTTAAACTTGTAAGTAAAAGCTAGTTGAGTCCCATTGAATTTCTACTAATAGTTATTTTAGCTTTGTTGTGCCAGGCAAGGGTTTTTAGACAGCATGAACTTTAAGATAATTCATTGCATAAATAGTACTTTCAAATTACAGAGCCTATATATATGTGTGTGTGTATATACACACACACAATCACACACATGTCTCCGAACTGTCTGTAACTAAACCCTCCCTCCCCAAAAAAATCTTGAAAATCTCAGTTTTCAGCAGTTTTAGAAAAGACAAATTTGATTTAAATATAAAAACTATTGAAAATAAAACTCCCATTGTAACTTCCATATAATGGGATAATATGTCCATATCTAGAACTCTATGTGCAGCTGTTCATTTAAAAAAATATAAAGTTGGAAAAAATGCAGACAAGGACAAGCAGAATTATCAGGAAGTTTGAAAACCTAATCTACAAGCAAAATCCAGAATATTTGGAACGCTCTAATTTGGAAAAATGGTAATTGAAGAGAGACAGGATTAAAATGTATAAAATTGTTGATGGCATGGAGAACAGGGAAGAATTTATCTTCCATTTTTAAAACACTATAGGAGAAACATCAGTCCATGAAACTAGCTGGAAAGAGATTTAGAATGAAGGAAAGCACTTCTTCACACAGCACATAAGCAACCTATGGAATTACGTGAGAAGACATTGTGACAGCTACTAACTTGGATGGCTTTAAAAGTGGACTGGATAAATGGATGGAGAGCAAGTTTTGCAAGGGCAATTTGCTCAAAGTTGGAGCCAGCATGGCTCCAGATATCACTTGCAATAAACAGTGGTAGGAATGGGATACTGTCTCCATCTGCTTAGAAGTGCAAAGGGTATCTGTTTGGCCATAATGAAACAAAATGCTGGACCAAGCTGGACCTTGGCTTGATCTAGGACAGGGGTATCAAACTGCCGGCCCACGAGCCAGACGTGTCATCCGGAAGCTGCGCCCACCCCATTGCCAGCAATGGCAAAACCGTCCTGATACGTTGCGCGATGTCACTTGACGTTGCGAGTTTGACATGTCTGATCTATTCTTATATTTTTAAGTCTGTTCTTATGTTCAGTATTTTCTACAAAGCAAAGCTGCTCTTTCTAGCTATTTTGTTCAATGGCAGTAAGAGTAAAGTGATGCATATTACATCAATGACTATTCTAATAAGCCAGTTGCCAAGCATCCGAATGTAAATCATGTGACCATGGGGATGCTGCAACAGTCGTAAGTGTGAAAACTGGTCATAAGTCACTTTTTTCAGTGTTGTTGTAACTTTGAACGGTCACTAAATGAATGGTTGTAAGACAAGGACTACCTACACTACACCAAGATTTAGTTATTCCTCGCCAAACTAAATATTAATGCCACAATGCATAGGAAGACATTATACAGGTAGTCCTCAACTTAAAACCACAATTTCTGTTGCTAAGTGAGACATTTGTGTAGTGAGTTTTGCCCCATTTTATGATCTTTCTTCCCACAGTTCTTAAGTGAATCACTGCAGTGGTTAAGTTAGTAACATGGTTATAAAGTGAATCTGGCTTCCCCATTGACTTTGCATGTCAAAAGGTCACAAAAGCTGATCACATGACTTCAGGACACTGCAATTGTCATAAATATGAGCCAATTGCCAGGCATTCAAATGTTAATAACATGACCGTGGGAGTGCTGCAATGGTCATAATTGCGAAAAACACTTTTTTCAGGGCCATTGTAACTTTGAATGGTCACTAAATGAATGGTTGTAAGTCAAGGACTACTGCAATTCCATCCCATCTGTTTATAGTTTATTGGATGCTTAACTGTTCCAATGAATTTTTATCTGCGATTTCATTAAACAAGAACTCCCATTGTCACCAGATGAAGCTTCCATTTCAAGAAACATTGCAATAAGAAGAGACTTTAGCTTTGAAACATCCACAGAGCATGAACAGATTAAACTCTCCTCCCACTTCCCACAGTGGCAATGGTAACAAAAAAAGGGCAAGCAAGCTTCAGGATTGTAAGATCCATCTTACATTTTATTAGAAAATGTGCATCTCTTTCCTGAAATACAGTTTGAATTAAAGGATTCTGAGCCCAGAAGTGTTTCAAAAATCAGAATTGAACTGAGGATTCTTTCATTCTCTTTTTCTCTCACTCACGCACACACACACACAAAACACACTCCTGCCTTACTCTCAGGTAGCCTAAACCCCATTCTCTTTTAATTAGCAGTATAATTATGGAAATAAGAAAGAAGCAAAAGGCATTATTCTATTATTACCATAGTTAAATAACTAAAATACTTGTCCATATACTAAAAATACCTTAGGATTTACCTAATTCCAACTTACATGCTGTTTGCCCAATTTAAAACCACTCTTACATGTAAATATAAGACTTTTTTAATTCAGTGTACTATATATTCAGAGAAAGGCTGGCAGTTCTGAATATTTGAAAACAATGCTGCCACTGTTAATAAATAGATAGGATGTCTACATGTCATATCCTATTCTTTCAGTTTAAAAGTTTAGTTTGCTTACTGGGTATTCAATTCAATTTATTACAGCCAAAGGCCACACATAGCTTACTGGGTATTAAAAGTGTCAGCTGGATCAGATACTGCCACACCATACTATAAAACCACAGATCATTGCAGATCAAATGACATCACAGGGTATCACATCTACAGTTCCAACTGTTTTACAAGTTTCTGATAGGCAACAGTACTGAAATATGTTCCCTGTAAATAAACTACAGAAGACTAAATTCCTGCTAAGTAAGAGGACTCAGTGGATCATTAAGAAAAGAAGGTTGAACATCTACCAGGACAAGTTCAGTGCTGCCTACAATGGTTTGTTTTTTGAGCTCATGGACAGTGTTTTACTAATTGTTTTTTTCAAAATCCAATTTAAAAACTGGCTTCTTTAATCCAAACTATTCAACTGTCTACAAGAAGTACTAATATTTTCTTGAGGTCACTTTCAAAAAGTGGCTGTATCCCTCACTTTGTCTACAACTATGTCACACAAGGGTAGATGATCCTCAGAGAGTTTTGTTACCCTTAACCTTTTTCCTTTTAGCTGTTCTTATTATTACCCCCTGCATGGTCGGTCCAGTGACCATTATATCTCTGCACTTGAGTTGAGACTATGAAAAAACAA